CTGGCTGGCACGGCCCCGGCAGCACCCAGCTCAACCTGACCCGGGCAAACAAGCTGCCGCCTCCATCAAGGTGTGCTGCAGCCTCCTGGGAGTTTTGGGCTCTCCACAGCTTCACTATCAGCAATGTCTGACCTGGCCTTTGTACGTCTATGTGAGCAATAGTAAGTGCCATGTCTAAGTAAATATCCCAACAGCTTGCAATCTGCAAAAATATTTGGTGGAAGGCGGGCAATTGCTGCTATGTTGACTTTAAAATTGATTCTTGTTGTTTGGATGTGACATATATCTGTGCGTAAAGAACAGCTTGGTTTACTTCTCAAGACACGTTTTTCATTGAAAAAGATTATTCCAAAAATTATTCAAGGTTAGTCAATACTAGTGGTGTTTTACAAAAATAACTTGGTTTTCATCAAAATTCATATGAGAATTCTTTTGAGAGAGTTATCAGAAATTCATTTCGGGTAACAAAACCCTTCAAACCTATTTCCATTTTTTTTAAGTAGAGTAAATTTGTAAAAAAAAAAAATGAAAATAAGCTATAGATCTGGATTGAGAAGTTGGAATAGAAACAACTTTGACAGTTCTCTTTTTTCACCAACATGTTGTAAGTTTGGTGCAGATGCCTTCTGATAGTTTCACTTGAAGAATTTCTATATGTAACTAAAGAGAACAATCTGATATTTACCAAAGAGCATTGTAGGAAAAGGGTTTCACAGGGAATGCTGTTGTTGCAGTTTTGGGGCACTCAAAGTGTAAAATAACAGAGCATATACATGAATTGTATGTGTAATTAGTAAAATAACAGCTTGGTGAAAAGGTAATCCAATCCATTCCTCATTAGCTTTCTGGGCTAATCAAATGTAGTCATTCTTCTACACTCCTGTCCCCATCTTTACTTGAAAATTCAGTATCTGACTCAAAAGTGGTTTGCATTCAAAGATGCATCAGAAACTCTGAATTTTAATCTTGCCTCTGGCAAGGAAAGTATTAGTGGGATTGCAGATTACCACGTCACGGTTTGTCACCTAAACTCCCCTGACAGTCCCTGAAGAGAAATTGGCATTTTCCTTGTGCATGAAAAAGAACATTTTGTTTACTGTTAAAATTGCCCAAAGGACAGATAGGATCTTCTTTAACACCTTCTCTGTACTTTCTTCAGTTTGGAGTGGAAATCAGGTAAAGGTCACATAAATCTCTTCACTTAAGACATTATCATCTTGACATTGAGATGATATTAAAAAGGTTTAACTGAATAGCAGCATTATCGTTATATCTTTGGAACATTAAGAGAAGATGAGTTAAACTGAAAGTTTTCTAAACATTTTGTAGGTCTTTTATGAGCTAATTCTCCTTACCCACTTTCAGTAAGCAGGGAAGTTTTTCTCAAGTATTGGAAAGCTGATGAGCTCGTAACTATATTGACCGTACATGGTCAATTAAATAGTAGAAGCCAATGCCCCTACTCCTATTCTACACACCTCATGCACAAATCCATCTGTTTCTTCACTTTTCTGCTATTGAATCTCTCCTCATTTACAGCTCCCTTACAGATTTTGACCATTTTCAAGCCCAATGATATCACAAGCCAAATTTTCCAAACCAGGATCCGTTACCGTGGGAATGTTACATTCGAGCTCACACATGGAAATTAGAAGGTGTAGGGGTCTGTCTGAAAAATGGCGCTTTGCATAAACCACAGTTTCTAATACACCCTCCTCCACTTCAGAAAGTTTGGTATGAGCCAAGTAGAGGCAGGTACTCTTATCTATCATACCTGAATAATCTCAGCTTTACCTTCAAGGAGCAGGTTTGCCGTTTGATCGAATTTCCAGATACCCATGTAAATAATTATATGTCCTGCATCACACAGGTATTCCAACAATAATTACAGAAGATCTCTCTGATTTACGAAGTAGATCAAATATAAATAATATCTTATTTACGAAGGAAGTTTTCATATGAAAAAGTCACTAAAATAACTAGTCAGTGCTCCCATTTCAGATGCATATTTGATTAACAATTCTTTGATGCCAAAAATTATATGCATATTTCAAGCTAATGCTTTTCCTTTGAATCTCATGATGGTTGGTATTTTTATAAAGGTCCCACTTTAAAAAATTCCATGATGAATAACTGTGGAGTTTTAGAGCTTAGGGGGAAATTTTGGTAAGTTTGTTTTGTTCTTAATTGCAAAGAAAAGTTTAAGAAAGTGGGCTCTACAAATCCTAATAAGGAGAACCCAGAAAATGTTTTTTTTTAATTTCATGATTGTTAACCTAATCTCCTGAACTTCTCTCATAACCTGAACGGTGAGATTTGTCATAGGATTAAAAATTACTGCAAGCAAAAACAGGAGATTGAGCGATATTACAGCTCAAGAGAGTTGCATTTCAGAGAATTAGTGCAAATGTAAATGTTTTATGGAGACAGGGTTCATTTCACACTTCGGAGATTTGCTAACCAAGCTTGTGTCATGCATGAGGACAATGCATTTTTTTAAATCATGTGTGCTATATGAAATCTTATCATGCTTTGCCCATATGGGTGCATAAGTTTTTCTTCATGCCTATTTGTTATTTCAGTTAGCTAGTACAAGAGAAAAATGTCTGTTACAATTTACCAAAGCTGTCTCTTTAAAGAC